AAATAATTGAAGTTATTTTGTGCTTCATAAAGGTAGTCACTGTTCTATGCACACTTGTATAAAATTATCTACCAGCAAGTGAAATGTAAAGAATGGAGCGTTTAGCTATGATATGAGTAACAGAGGATTTTTTATTAAATAAATTTAAATAGTATTACTATAAATTATAATTACAATTACAGCCAGCATTTTTCTAGTTATATCCTTCGAATCCTATAGTTATTGCATAATATTTATTTAATTTATCTAATTTATCTAATGCAAGTCAATTTAATTTTATGTATATGATAAATAAATGCACAATAAATTCTAGCGCTAGTGCAATTAATGTTTGTTTTTAAGCTAATTAATACTTATTTTTAATATTTAACGTTTGATCGATTTGCATGTTAACGTAATGTTACAATAATGTGCTATATTTGTTTGTTTTGACTTATCGTTATATATTGCATGACTTGTATGTAATCCTTTGATTTTCTTAACTTGTATATTTGCATGGCATGTGTAATTCTTTCTTTGATTTTGTTAACTTGCATACTTGCATGACTTGTATGATATATGTGATTTTTTATATCGATATAATTACCATTTGGTAAATTCATAGAATTTATTATTACTTTTTATACTTCTCTCACCTAATTATCTAATTAGAAATACTCGAGCTTTACCAAGTAATAATTACTTGTTGCTGTATTGATTATCCTATTTCAATCTTTTTCTTTATTTTTAACATTCATTTAAAGATTTTTCCAGCCTCCTAATTAGATGCTTCCTTACAGAAGATAGTAAATGTCTCACTTATTGCATTCACCCATAATGTATTCATATTTTCATGATAATAATATAAAAAATATATTCATCATCTTTCATCCCACTGCTCATAGTAATTGTTATTACTTTTCTTTTTTTAAATCAAAAATTAAATTATTGCTATAATAAATATAGTCAAAAATTATAAATACTGACTATTATTGATTATTTTTTAGTGTTGAAAGATATATACACTATACTGATATGTATAAATGCTTGCTATTTTTTTAATCCCCCATATTTTATGAAAAAAATTATATGAAATTTGAAGAATTTGTTTCACTTTGGATGTGTATCTGTGTTTGCTTACTGTGTGTTTACATAATAGATGCTATCTTTACTCTTCTAGTTAATCGAAATTTAACTTTTGCTTCATGAAAAAGACGAGAAGATCTGTCTATCTTTAATATCATCTTGAAAAACAAGGAAAAAAATAATCGAAGAAAACTTGATTCTTATGAGTACATGTGGGTATTCCGATGCGATCGAAATTAACTTTTCAGCTGAAAAATGAATTTAAGCATCTCAAAGCAGCATGTATGTTATCACATATTCGTTTCTTTCAAATCGATTCCGCTAATTTATTGAGAGAATATAATTTTAATTTCCACTCATTGCTAAGAAACTTATTAACGCCAAGAAAACGAAAATGATGTGGTTTCAAGACCATTCGACTCGAAATTAGAGTTGGTTGTCTAAACTATTTCAAATATAGTATAGTTTCGGCTCCCAGCTTTACTCGAGATGCATGTAGATGGTAAAATTATAGTCTCTTGCTCTAGATTATTATTATGATGAAAAGAAATGTTAATAAAGATCCAACAATCATTCTGAGGTGAATATAATCCTTTGTCAGATCAGAAAGGTGTAAAACCGTATAAATCTTTTTTGATAATGGGCGAATTGTGGCTTTTTAAAATAGGTTGTAATTTAATTGATTTTTCTTTGTCTTTTGAAAGATATTCATTGGTGTTGGAAGTCTATCCAATAACATTGACCTGATCACTCGATCTTGTGACATACAGAAATACATATATATAGAGAGAGAGATACACATGTAATATAACTGGATACTCTAGAAAAACAAGAATAGTATTATTTCATAAAATGTCTCCAACAGTTTCTTCAACCAAATCGTCGTCTCACTCAGAGATAGAACCAAGAATAGTCGCTACAAACACACTAATAGTTACCAATCTCGACAGAGAAGCTTTCCGGCCGGATAATCTAGCAAAACTAAAGGCCCAATTAGAACAGTACGGCTCCATTTATAAATTTATCCCTATTAAATCATTTAATAGAATTTTGGCCGTTTACTATAACACCGTAGATGCGAACACTGCGAAAGCATTTGCTGACAAGATGTTGTTTCTGAGCAGTAATATTCGTATTTATTTTGGAATGGTAGGTAATTTTATCATTCAAAAGTCGTCATAAGATTCTCGGGGATGATCGTTTAGTTTGACTTTCCTCTTTGATTTGTTAGCATACCCCAATTTATGATACGATCGATGAATCTCAGCATCTTGATGTACCGAAAATCGAGAAAAATTGGTTAATATCCCCACCGATGTCGCCGCCAATCGACTGGACACAAATCCGCGAAGATTCTCCAAACTCTAATACGCTTGCCGAAGATTTAATTCAAGCTCTGCGTCCATATGCAATTAAAAATGCTGGCGATATGATTAATGATGAAGAGGAAGATGATGACAAAATTCCCAGATTCTTTTTGGATGATGTCTCTGACGAAGGAAAAGAATCTGATATTAATGTCTCTGCACGGAATCCATCAACGCCGTCACTTTCTAAATTAGATGTCCCATGTTTAACTATTATAACTAATAACGGGGAAGATAATGATGTGTTTGGTGGTGATGATGATGATGATCGGTCTGTCCCGATGATACTCGTGCAAGATTGGGATCATGACTCGACCATAAAAGCAGGCTCTTCGAATCTATTAAATGTAGCGAATGACGTGAATCGTAGAAGGACGCAACTTCGTCCTTCTCAGACTTATACACCAACACCAAGGCCTCCGGTCCTTAGCGGAATGTAACTCGTGAGTGTGCACCTTTTAGTATACTTTATAGTGAAGTAGGTATTAAGACTTAATTTTACGAGATCAAAAATTATTTATTTATTATGCAAATGAATAAAATATTTTTAATCACATTTACAAACGGAAAATAAATGTCAAAAGTGATTACATAGATCCCAATATTATCATTTTTAGTAATAGCAGTGTATGTAGTAGCAGTGATAATTGTTTAGAATTATTAGTCAATCCGCCCATAGATATCTATCGTAAGTGATCCTTTACATACATCCGTTGAATCGTCTAATACTTGTTCAGAAGACATGATTATTAATTACTATTTTAAATTCTCGCTGGTTTAGCCTCCCTCCAAAACTGATTGATAGCTTATGAATGGCCTACGTTCTAAAGTATATATATATGACTTAGGTTAATAATAAATAAGAAGAATTGCACAATTGTGCTGCTTTCCTATTCAACGATTATTATTACCAAGATTCCGCTACATGCCTCTCGTTATAGTTCTCCCTATCCGAACCATGAGATCTACCCCCTGTTTTTTTTTGAACTACTTGGAACCGTTCTATATTTATTGGACAAAGTAGTAAGTGCGACGCCATTATTATCATTGATGAAATTTTATACAAGATGATACGATTTCTCGCCAAAGAGCAAAGAACCAATGCTTGCCTTGAAAAACTTGGGCTACTCTCTCCTGCCCGAGTGGTCTGCTAAAGTATGATAACTTCCCCTCAACATATACGACATCACTAGCATATAAAATGTCGAATTTTAGTCAGTGAAAATAAAAGGAGATCAAAAATTTACACACAATTAATTCGTATACCCAGGATTAAGATTTTTTATTGCTGATATTTGAGCAGGATGACGACAATGAATCAAGTGTTTTGTCTCAACTTTTCCTGTTATATTTTGTCAAACGTAGAGTTATGATTATTAACCTCAAATGGTTGGATTGAGCGATTCCTTTTCCTTTTTAACCAATAAACCATAAAAAAAACTGACCAGAATTATTAACGACAAAGGTCGTGATCTGATAATTAACTCGTTCAGTTCCACCGGCCGGTGCAAAAAATTTGGGTTTATCAGCTACCTTACCAACTAACATAACTTTATTGATGGCTATATATTGATTGTTGTCATTTAAGAAATGGTGACGGAGTCGATGTCAGAGATAAATTTGGTGTTGTGATAATTAATAGCCAAGCGTGAATTTGTCATTTTGATAATAATTTTTGAAGAAAGAGTGTTAATAATAAATCAACACGTAATTCGTACAAGTAAGTTATACAAATAAAATTCACCAAGCATGATGAGAATGCATGATTAATATTATGCGTAAAAAGGGCACATCAAGGAAAATTCACGGCCAAATCATTTAGAAATGAAAATAACGCTTACTCGCAAGGTCTTCATCACTTGAACTGGTAGACGCGAATGACCTCTATATGTGTGTGCATGTCACGACCATAAGTATCCCAGTGCAATACGCAATTAAAAAAATAATCGAACATTTAGAAATCAATCTCTGATACAGGAATCTCCTCTGGTAGAACTTTATAGCTAATTACCTTTGAAGACCCTATAGACGCGAAACCATTAGTAGTAACACTTCGAGTAATGCTAGCGCGTTGTGTTAACTTTGAGATATTTTTTAACAGCGACATTTTCTATAAGTCAAAAAAGATATATATATCTCAAAGGTCGTGTGAGTGCGCCAAGAAACCAAAAAAGCAAAAAAGTAAAATAATTTTTTTTCGTTTGGTTGATTAGGCAAAAGAATAATTACATTCACGGTTTTCTGAACAAAAAAATTATCAGAGTAAAAAAACCTTCTCAAATGTGGCCACCGACCAATCAATGTTTCGGAATCACGAATAATTGGTTTAGACTAAAAATGAGTCAATCGGAACATTTTTTTGTTGTAAAGATAAATTTTCCCATTTCATTGTACATGTAAATTTTAATCGTTTTTAACACAGATAACAATCTTTAATCCCTTGATAAATTTCTTCTTATTTGGATCTTTTGTAAAGTTTCAGAATAATGAAAACATTATTCTCATCTTTTTTTTTCTTGCTTGGGAACCAAAGAATTATAAAGAACTTTACATTTCGCTGCAGATCATATGTGCACATGTAGCACGTGTGTCAAATTTAATCACTAGATATTAAATTTACGTGATTTCGCAAAGTCCCAACTTTAAATCAAATTTTTACAAAATGGCTGTTTTATTACGGGAGGCAAACTTAACTCGCAAAACGAAAGAAACAGACATCAGTGTGACCCTAAAATTGGATTCTGCTGGGAATCAAACGATCGATATCGATTCTGGGATTGGATTTTTGGATCACGTAAATTGAATTTATATAACTCAATCAATATACCTTATTATAAGTTAACCTCTTTGACAAACCAAATTAGATGTACGAAGCTCTTGCAAAGCATTCTGGATGGTCTCTCTCACTTAAATGCAAAGGCGATTTACACATCGACGATCATCATACCGCCGAAGACACGGCAATAGCATTGGGTAACACGTTTAAGCTAGCGCTAGGCGAGACGCGGGGAATTAAACGGTTTGGGTATGCATATGCGCCATTAGACGAGGTGAATTAATTAATGACGTTTTTTCTCATCAAGATAATTTGTTAATAACGAAAAATAAAATAAATTATCTAGGCCTTATCACGCGCAGTAGTAGATATCTCGGGAAGACCATTCGCAGACATAAATCTTGATTTGAAACGTGAAAAAATCGGTTCGTTGTCAGCGGAAATGTTGCCCCATGTGTTATCGTCTTTTGCTACTGCGGCGAATATTACGCTTCATGTGGATGTGTTGAAAGGAAAAAATGACCATCATAGGTAAGAGAAGACAGTTAACCATGTGATTGGTGAGAGAAAAAAAGCAACCAAAGTTTTAAATTCTTTTTTTTTTCTAGGGCAGAATCTTCGTTCAAAGCTCTTGCTGTCGCTTTACGACAAGCAATTGAAAGAACGGGAACAAATGATGTGCCTAGCACCAAAGGTGTCTTGTAACCAACTAATTTATGATTTAGTGCGTGGGCAATCTCGATATAAAGAAATTTGTCAGGTTATTTTTGAAAACTTTTATTTTACATGACGAATTACCAAGTCATTACTCCATTGTATCAAGATGTTTATGTATAATATTTAGAAAGCTAATTAAATAATAACCAAAAAAGAAAAAAAATGCGAAGAATAGTTTTTTATTTACGAAGTAGAGAAAAAGAGAAATAACGATTCCTTGGTTGGTAGCCGGCCAATCAATCTCAATCGGCTTGTTTCGTTTTTCTAATCTACTTTAATTAGCGCGCTCAATCTTTCCGGAAGCGGCGGATGCGAAAAATGATACGCCGAATACCAAGGATCATTACTCATGTTTCCTAGATTCTTTGTATGAATCTTGATCAGACCAGACTTGAGTTGTTCTGCGTATCCCAACTTTTTCCCGTACGCGTCTTCATATGAGATTAAATGTTCAGAATTATTACGTTGTGAAACACTTTTGATCACCCACAAAATAACACATATAAAAATCATTACCAGCTTCAAATTCGTGTTTCCGACTCAAGATATTCATCAAGAAAGAAATAACGTGATCAATCGGTGAATAAATATAGTTGAACAAGATAAACCCAATTAATATGGGCCTCGTGTCAAATCCGAACGAATGGTATAACGCGGTGTTGTTGATGAATTGAGAGAAGAGGAAGAAGAGTGTGAATATTTGTACTTGTGCGATGGTTAGTACCTTTATTGTGTGGTTTAGGTACCAGTGGCCTAATTCATGGCCTGTTTTATAAAATCAAATAAATCGAATTCTTTAGAATTAGATCCGCTAATCTTGCCAAAAGAAGAAGTCATCCAACACGTACCAACGATGGCAACAATTTCCTCAATTTCCGCAGATTCGATCAATGTATCAAACAGCACAATCCTCTTATTTTTAAAGAATCCGTAAAAGTACGCATTCGAATGTTTCGACCGCGTACTCCCGTCAATCACGTACAACTTTTTCAATGGGAAATTAATACGTGACGCCAGCTCTTCAATTTTTGTTCGGAGCTCGCCTTCAGGAAGTGGCGTCAATTTGTTGAACAGTGGTTGTATGAGTGTCGGATAGATTGTGAGCATGATAAAATTGAATACGAAACTTGATATCAAAAAATATAATGAAATGAGATCACGTATATATAATAATATGGTGATGGTAGATATAATGACTTACACGAATAACCACACGTAAAAGAAGAAATTCTCTCCACCCCATTTGATAATGTAGAGGGCAAGTGATAACACCGGTAAACCAATGACACAAAACAGCGCCATTGTTATGAGTGTATCCTTGACATACAGCCGAAGCGTCATCTTGTTAAATCCGTGACGTTCTTCAATCACAAAATTATACCAGAGTGAAGTGGGAAGTGTAATTATAAACGATAGAAGACTCCAAATAATCGCGAAAAGACAAGATTGAAGAATCTACACCGACAAACATCAGAATTCAATCGTGGATCAAATTCAACGGTCAATTACTGTCAACAAAAAGGTATACCTCATATTGATTAGGATCAAATTCAGCAAACTCTAATGCTTTTCCCGCGAGATTCCACATCCATGGTAACCCATCCAACATAATGACCGCCGTCGTTTCCACCTGTCCCAAAAAATCTGCAAAAAACCGGAATTTCGCTTTATCAATGCTATACGATTGTGCTTTCGGATATTTCTCGCAAATTTCCTTGTTGTCCGCGAGACTTTTTGGCGGATTGGGGTCTTGTAACTTCTTGTATTGACGATAACTTGTTTGTTTAGGAAGGATAAAAGAAATTTGATGAACTTCAATGGGGCGTTTGAATGCGAACGTTCTATTTGTGCAGAATAATTACCTTAGATATTGTTCAAAAACATAAACTACCCACGAAAACCCAAGCACAAATTCTTTGTATGGAGTTCCTGGCGCTTGCAAGTCGATTTCGAAGCCTAACAATGCTCCTTGTATTTCTTTGGAATAATTCAATATAACGTCCATGTTATTGACGCTTCTTTTGCAACAATGTTCATAAATACTGTTATTATAAAATACTGTTATTATATAAAGTCGTGTATCGCGATTTGCGTTACACATTCGAAAACGTAATTTTGCATTGTTGTTGTATTTTTCGATCATAATCCATTATCAAACAATGTCAACAATAGACGTAGTTCTCTTGATTTGGTTTATTGATATCAATTCGGTCCACAAATTTTTTTAATAGATTTTATATTTTATTGTAGCATGAGAGAACGTATGATTTTTTTTAGATTATAAAAAATTAATAAACATCAAAAACAAGGAAAAGAAATAAAAAAAGACAAAAAATTAAATAATCCGATTTGTAGATAGCATATATCCAAAAACTTTGACCCAGCCTGTCTTATCAAGCAAGTAACCCTACAATTACCAATAACCACCACAAAGAATAGATAATAAAAATATACATAAAAATGTATTTAGTTATAAAAAATTTTTAATCATTCAATCAAATTTGTTTACAAAAGTTATATGCAAAATTGTTTGAGTAAAACAGAGTTGGATTGGGATGAATAAAAAGAACTAGAATAATACCTTTTTTTTATTTTTTTGGCTTGGTGTTAGATATCGAATATCGTGTGTTCAAAAATGTATAGTTCTTGTCAAAATTGTATTCGAAATACGAATAATAATAATAATAATGATGATGATGATGATGATGATGATGATGATGATGATACGTTTCGGCATCAAAGGAATTCGTAAAAATGTAATAATGATGATGGATGATGGCAAATGAGAAAGAAATTAAATTGAAGATTGCTTCAACATCGACGAGACCACCTTCATATCCAGAAAGATAGAGGATGTGCATGTACCATGAAAGCAAGAAGCCTCAAGATTAGAATAATTAAATGAAAGATGGACTAACGAATCAGCAATCTCTGAAAACAAATTTTAATATTTCTGTAAATCTTGGCCAGATCCAGAATTTTCTTGTTGACTCGTTTCATTATTATTCATGTGATTCATTATCAAATTGTCATCTTCAAGATTTGATCCAGTCACCATGTGTTTTTGTCTTCCACGCAACGGTAACGGCAAAAAATATTTAGCATAACCGAGTATCGTAAACGTGACATTCAACGGGAGAAATATGACTTGCATCATGCTTCGTGGCAAGGTCATTGCCTGATCCTCTTGAAGCTTATATGAGATGAAACTATCGTATTCACGTAACTTTGATTCGAGAAAAGCAAATCGTTCTTCTGAATAATTTCGAAGATATTGTTCTTTTTTTTCGTGCTTTCTCACAGCTTTATTCAACTGTGAAATGGTTGGCTCGATCCCATTTCGCACATGATCAATGTCACGTTTCGTTGCAAATCCACGGCGTAATTGTGAGAACTCGTATTCGAGATGCTGTACTCGTCGTTTTAACAGTTCTACTTCGGTATTTGGATAGTGAACTTGTTCTTGTAAGTGAAGTGTGCGATTCTTTGCTAGACTGGCAACGTGCATCAAGGGACGAATACCGGCAGCAAATACAAATAAGGCAATGTTGAAGTGAGATATATACTTGTCATAGTCTGTCAGATATTGTTTGGCATAGTGCAATGCAAATCCACCCAACATTGGTGACGCTATAACCAAACCAAGCGCATATAATTCGGCGTGACGCAATTCACGCGCGGCCATTTGTCGACGAGCTTCCAGAGCAGAATCTGCGGTTTGCCCTGCAAACGTATTTTCATTAATCACACGTCTGGATCTTGCTGCGTAATAAAGCTCCCATGGAACTAATTTCAAGATTATTCTTAGTTAATACAGTTAACTAACTAACGTGAACCAAAGGAAACGGAAATGAGATAAAAGAAGAATGGAAATACCTTTTATAATGTTATAAAGATAGAATGCAATCAAGAGTAATAAAAGAAAGTCACTCCAAACATCTGATTTTCCGTACACCAGCGCACCCATAGGCGGTATTATAGCGAACAAGATTGGCCAACTGTAAGCATGAGTTGAAAAAGAGTCACTAGTGACATCACGAAGTATTTCAGCAGGAGGTCCAGCAGGTAAATCACGACTATTTATACCACCATTTACCGTTCGTTCTCGGAATGTTTTACGTTGTTCACCAGCACCCATACCTATGCCTGCACCACGCGTCTCACCAGTGAATGACGACGCGCTACTAGGGTTACTGTTATATAGATTGCTTCGGTTGTTGTTGGTGGTATTATTCCTATTAGTACTACTGGTATTATTATTAGTATTAGGGTTGTTAAGGTTATTACCGTTACTTAGTATTGTTGTGGTTGTAGACGTTGCTGTAACGGTTGTCGTTGTGGCAATACCATTGGGTGTTTGCGGTCGAGATATTTGTTGTTGTATGTGTGACATTTGCCTCGCTTCTTTTTGCCTATTTTTTTTTTTTTTTGCTTTTTTCCACTTTTTTTTTCGTTAAAAAATTGTAATAACAGTAATAGTATTAATAAATGTAGTAAGGACTGCGCTTTAGCATTAATAAATAAATGGCGTAGGTATTTGCAAAAGTTTTGGTTAAAAATATATCGATATTAAGAAACAGCGGAGACATTAAATCTAACGTTAACATAAATTATTAACAAGCACTACTATAATACCGGGGGAAGGTAGGAAATTTAAACTATGACCATGCATAAACTCAGAAAAAAAAAAATAACCGCCTTTTTATGGCATTAACCCACATTCCACGATATGATAAATTGGGTAACCATGTCTATCAAAGGATCATATGAGATTCACACATTCGAATCATTATTGTTGGCTGATACAAGTTCGAAACTTTTTGGTCATCGATACCTGGTTATCCTCTTATCGTTTTAAGGTATGTGGTTTAGTTTCAAAGAAAGGAATGTATGTCAATTTTTTCGAGGGGAGCGATAGTGTCTATGGAGTGTTAAAGAATAGTGCCAAACATCACATATGCTTTTCACGCGCAAGTTTTACCTTTATTGACAACATTACGATTAAGGGGAAATGTACGAAAAATATTATTTGTACCTTTCCAAAAATACTTGCAAGACTAATATTTGAATTAAATTTATTTTTTTCTTTAATGTCTCTTCTGTTTGAGGCGCTGCATTATATTTTATGATTAATAATGTAGCGTTATAGGTGTGCAGAGAACATCCTTTCTTTTACATTTCTTGCTAACGGTTTTTCCTTGCGTTGCTATAATTTTTAGTGCTACTAAGCAGCGGATTTCTCGTCGCGCGAAATCGGTCCTGGTGATTGTAGTAATTCTATCTCATAGATAATAAATGTTTAGCTCAACTTCATGTATGTTCTCTTTATTATATAGTGAGATCGAGCATCAATCAATTATAAAATTTTTAAGGTTAATTGTTTTGTTATGTAAATCTTTTATTTTATTGTAATAAAATTAAAAAAAAGTATTGGGTGGAAAGGAAGAAATAAAATTGTTATTTTACGATTTTTATTAATGGCAACTGTCTTTTTAATGATCTCCTAGAAAAAATTAAAATAAATTAAAATTACCGGTTGAAAAATTCAAAAATTTCGCAAACAAAAAGAAAAACCATAAATCATGAAAATAGTGGCGTTGATTAGTGGTGGCAAGGACAGCTGCTTCAATATGCTCCATTGTGTAGCTAACGGTCATGAAATTGTGGCGTTGGCAAATCTGAAGCCGCCGGATAATAAAGACAAAGGTGCGCTACAAAAAGTCGATATTTTTGTTGGTTTAGTATTTATAATAACGAATTATGCGATACATATACTTAGATGAACTTGATAGTTACCTCTATCAAACAGTTGGTCATGACGCAATACAGTACTACGCCGATTGTATGAACTTGCCGCTTTATCGTCGTGAAATACTTGGCGCTCCTTTAATAATCGATTCCGATTATTGTTCAATTACGAGTGGAGATGAGACTGAGGATTTATATGAACTGTTGAATGATATTAAAGTCTGATTTATTGATTATTATTAAATCGAATTGATTAATCAAAGAGAAGAATCAAAAGGCTGAAATGTTGATTTTTCATATTAAAGGAAAAACATAACGATATCCAAGGTGTATCAGTCGGTGCTATCCTTTCGAATTATCAGCGAGTTCGAGTTGAAAATGTGTAAAGGTTTATTTTTTGTTTGTTCTTTATTAATCATTGGTAATTTTTATTTTCCTGAGATATCGATCAATTTTATTAAGGTAATTATTATGAATTTTATAATCTTAGATGTAATCGTCTTGGATTGATCTCGTTGGCGTATTTATGGCGAAGAGACCAAAAAGAACTGTTAAAAGAAATGATTGAAGCCAGGGTCGATGCTATTTTGATAAAAGTTGCCGCTATTGGTAAAATTAATTTACTTGAATAATTATTGATTATTCTTGTTATTAAATAAAACAAATCTTTTTCCACAAAAAAAATATGGTAGGGTTGAAACCGTTGCATCTTGGAAAATCTATTAGTGAGATGTATCAGCATTTATGCTATTTGGTTAGTGTTTTTTGATAGTTTTCTACTTTGGGTGTATGATTGGAAGTTTAACAGACTTATGGAATTAATAATTTTTTAATTGCTGATTAAATTCAGAATGAAAAATATGATGTCCATGTGTGCGGTGAAGGTGGTGAATATGAGACGTTTACATTGAATTGTCCTTTATTCTCGAAAAGAATTGTTGTGTAAGTACAAGAATAAAATAAATTTATTTTGTAAATGATATTTTCCATTTATAATAATAAATTCATTTATTAATGTTCTTTTTAAAATTTTTTTAAAATTATCTATACTACAACAAAAGAGAGGAGACCGAAACAATCATTCACTCAGATGACGCATACGCCCCTGTTGCGTATCTTCGGCTGAAAAAAGTTTCTTTACAAGAGAAACAAGAGGAACAACAATCACCTTCTGCGTCATCATTGGAAACTATGCATCAAAGCCCTTCATCATTGAATATAATTGAAAATCCATCGTGGAAAAAAGAAATTGGAAACATGGTGGATTTGCTGGAAAACTTTGTATATTGTTGCTATTAGTTTATTTATAAGTTCGATCTTTTTTCTTCTTAAAAATTAACTATTAATTGCTGATTTTTAGGCTTCTTCGATAGATATCAATCTTAATAATGACAACAATAATGATAAAATCGGAATATCGAATCATATTGTGGATTTTTCGAAGGATGAATCGTCGCCAATTGTAGCAGGTATAGTCTCTAAAAGGGCTCAAACTTGTATGATACGGGAAATATTGTAAAATGTTAATATAATTTTATGTCATTAGACTACAATTTTTGTACACACAAAAACGCACCATACTACTCAATATCAGGGACAACATATTACGACGGTTCCGTGGTTTCCGATGATTCTAATAGCGATAATAGAACTCATGACATGACAATCGAGGAGGAAACTCGTCATTGTATGCTCAAATTACAAGGTATAGTTTTTCGAGATCAACATTGCTTTTTACATGTTCCGATTTAAATATATGATGTAACATCATGATATTTTGAAAAATAAAAAATAGACCGATTATCCAAAATGGGATTAAATTGGTCCGACGTTGTCTCCATGAATTTATACATCACGAAAATGAGTGATTTTTCACGCGTGAACTCGGTGTACAAGTCTTTTTTTGCGGTGAATCCTCCTACTAGGTAATGTATTAATCCAATTTTATTTAATAATGTATGAATCTCTTATATTCAATATTTTATCTTCGTCGATTTAGAGCATGCGTTGGCGCTAATTTGCGACCACCGGCGAACGTCCAAATAGACCTAACAGCAATAAAATCCGCAAATGCTACCTCTAGACAAGTGATGCATGTGCAAAGCCTTTCATACTGGGCTCCAGCAAATATCGGGCCATATTCTCAAGCTATAATCGTGAGTTTTGAATAATCTATCGACTTATTATCATTCAGTTTTAATTTCATTTAATTTAATATTTTGCTTATCAATACCAGACCCACAACCACGTATATATAGCTGGACAAATCGGTCTAATTCCATCATCACTGGAACTTCCATCCCTTAATGATTTCAAAGTAAAAACCACAATAACCAAAAACGAACACATTTCGTTGTTAACTTATGAAATTGGATTGTCACTTCGAAATCTTGAAAAGGTCAGTAGAGCACTCGACGAGGATGTGAGACGAAATACACTACTTTGTATATGTTATGTTGACGACGAGGGTGCTTTTCCATTGGTGGAAAAAGCTTGGAAATTTTTTTGTGATGGGGTTGATCTCTGTCGTCGAAAGCGAGAATTAGAATATACCGAAGATGGCGATGGTAAAGAGAGAGAGGAACAAATTGTAAAGGTCATTTTATTCATTCTATTAGTACTTTCTAATAATAAGTGTTTGATTCTAATTATTTGTAAATATTACAGGATGACAAAGATGAATTTAACAATACAAACACAACAAAAAATACAGCTCTTGTACTTTATATACAAGTTCCCTCACTACCACGCAATGCAAAAGTTGAATGGCATGTGCTATTACGATCATCATCCTTTTCAGATACTAATCCAGAACAAGTAGAAAAACATCAGTTTCATAATGACGAACATGGATCCAAAACCAACGAGCAAACTTTATGGCAAAATGTTTTGACCTATAATGACGAGGAAACGACAACAACAATCTCAATTGCTTCACGATTTTCGAAACCTGTTTTATCAAGTGTTTTTACTGTGAGAGTATCTGGCAATAAAAAAACGACTGCTGCTGCTACCAATGATTCGTCAGGTATGGAATTAATTGCCTCATTAAATCGTCTTCCACATTTTCTAAATATTTTATCATAAATATTAAAATAGATTATAGAACCACCATCCCCATTTCATCAGTAATGAAAAACCTGGTATCATCTATTTCCGATGAAATTCATAATCTTCAAAATCACCAAACTGCTTGTCCCAGCCAGCCATGGACAAAAGTTACTTCAATTCGAGTCTTCTATTCAGAAAAGCTGCTGATTGCCGCTGGACATGGCGTAGTAGTGATTTTAGAAAGAGGTAATTGACTTATTCTATTGCATGTTTCATTTCATAATTTCTAACTTTAATTACTATCCTAAAAAAACCAATATATCAGTTCTGAAAAGGGAACTAACCAACCAAATCACCAAAGACAAAAGGCAAGAGAGCATTTCCAATCTGAACCCCAATCCCAACCCTACTTCTGAATTTCATTTAGATCCTGTGCCAGCAGTCACGTTAATTCCAGTAATGGGAATAATGAATGATTCTATACTAGGTGTAAGCTTGCACGCTGTTTTTTGATAATGTAGTGATTCATTTGTCCATTCATTTGCTTGAAATTAATCGAATGCAGAGACATTAATAAAATATACTATAAATAACCCATTCCATCATATATTGTTTATTTAAATCACAGCACAGATGGCTAATAAATGAGAAAAATATATTATTGACATTAATTTGTCATTAATACATACATTAAATATAATCAATCATTCGAATAGATGTAGAATACACCCCTTTTTCACAATTAATCAGTCAATTTCTTTTTTTATCTCATACGTCTCATATCTTCAGTCAGTTCTCCTCGCTCTTCTAATCGTTTTTTGGCTTCTTCCGTGGCCCAAGTTCTTAAGCTAAAATCATTTTAAAATTAGAATAGAGAATAGAATTAAATAGAGAATATCCTAAAAAACAAAATACCTTGTATCTGGTGCATAATACTTTAAAATAGCACCGATCACGAAACTCCCACCGAATCCATATACCCAAATGTTTTCCCACTCTTCCTTTACGCGTTTCTGACCTGGTGGTAGAGGCTGGGTGAGTGATAAATTTGCGTAAAGTTGGCAATTTATTTAAAGTGATGTTTAGTGTTGAAGATGCGAATGTGGTAGGTATATAAATCAATAGAGACAGAAATAGATCAATAAAAAGAGGGCTAAATTAAATTGAATTTAAAAGTTTTATTTTAATTTCGTGCCCAAAAACATTTTTTTATTTGATAATAATCTTTAATCACTATCCCCAATAGCCCGACATTATGTTTTATTAATATTATTTATTCAAAAGATTAGGAATAAAACGTATCCACTATTATTAAGACTTACTAATACAAAGAAATTCTGAACACCATGCTTCTATCTAATCTCGCCAACCACATAATGATTTCTCGAACATTCTGCCTAAACTGTCTATCTAACCTTTTCGCCAAACAAATATCCAGAGGGTTCATTCCATTCAGGCTCATGGTGAGCTCCTCCACTCGCATTTCGAAAACTTGGATAAGAAGGTAACGTTAATGAAACGCGTTTTGTTAACGGAAAGAGCATAGAAACTCTTCTTGCTTTTATAACTCGTAAAGACGACATATTTACAAGAATTCTAACGGAGTGTTACACCTTTCAAAAAAAAAATATTATCCACAATAGTTAATAATCTACATGACCCAACAATTTACCTTTTAGGGGCGTGCCATTTATCACATAGCGTGTAAAATGCACAATTAATTAGATCCCAGCATAACCTGAAAAAATAATGGCATATTTATACATTGCTACGACGATACAAGAACTTGTTGGCCCTGGAAATACATAAAGTTATAGAGGTTGTGGGGTAGATAGATTGTTCCTGAATATGAGATACTGAAAAAAGCCACGCAATTTTATTTCAACGAAGATTGTGGTATGCGTGCATCAAAATTGGCTTTCAAGTTTAAACGTATTTGAAGTCAAATTGGGAATGCTATTGAAAAAGCAACTGATGACTTTTACAATAATCATGATGGCCTAGAAACAAACTATACAGTTTGATTTTGAAGAAAGATCTTTACATTTTTTTCAAGATAAATTTACTTATAACGACATTTAATGTATATAATTTATATGATATATAAGTAAGTGCGTGTATTAAAAGGCTAGATGTAGAATCTAGACGAACGATTTCAATCGTTTTGAGCGTCCATAGAATTTCTGACTTCTTTTCCAGTAGATATATGAAAATATATAACGATCACGTGCCCAAATTTTTTTTTGATCGCCGGCCAATATAGTCTTCCTCGAAAACCATACGCCAAGCTACTTTTTTCTTCATATCATCCATCCTTCCGTCCCGTTCAGCTTTTTCGCGATACTACAGAAAAATGAAGGATATCTACAAGGATGTTACACTCGCTGTCCCAGATGGAGTTTCGATCGATATCAAAGCTCGACTCATAAAAGTGACGGGTCCGCGCGGTACTCTAACAAAAAATCTTCGGCATATTGACCTCGAGATTCAAAAAATCAATAAAAAACTGATAAAGCTCGTTGTCTGGCACGGTGGGCGTAAGCACCTCGCATGTTTGAACACTGTAAAGAGTCACATTGAAAATCTCATTACTGGAGTTACGAAAGTAAATTTTTGTATCTCTTTTTTTTGTATTTGATAAATTTATCATTACTCATAATCAATTAAACGAAATAATTTGATGAACAAAAAGGGATTCCAATACAAAATGCGATACGTTTATGCACATTTTCCAATCAACGTGCACATAGTCAATGACGGCCGAGAAGTCGAGATTCGTAACTTTTTGGGTGAGAAAGTGATTCGTCGCGTGAAAATGTTGGATGGCGTCAATATTGAGATTTCCACCGCTCAAAAGGATGAATTGATATTGACTGGTAATGATCTTGAGAATGTGTCTCAATCTGGTAAGAAACTTTTTCCTCGAAGTATTTTTTGATCTCGAATTTATGAGGATGCGATTATATATTGTCTAATAATTAATTATCTTAGCGGCAAATATCCAACAATCGACCACCGTCAAAAATAAAGATATTCGTAAATTTTTGGACGGTATCTATGTTAGTGAGCGTGGTCATTTCGTCAAGGACGATATTTAAATTCTTATTAATTCGTCTATATAAAAAACTCTGTTGCTATCGTTGTCATCATCACTATTATTATTGTTATTATTATTATTATTATTATTATCATCATCATCATCATCATTTCAACTGCGTTACTATCTAACATCCAAGTTCTTTGAATGTTATTATTTTTGATTGTTTTGAAATGAAGATTATTGTACTTTTATCGTGCAAACCAAACATATTTCATTGCACTAATTACTATTTTACGTTGATAACTTCTTTACAAAAGATAAAGTGGGGTTCAAAAGTGCGAACATAATCTCAACCACCGGATCAAGTGATTTTCAAAGATCAGTTTGAATAGTGAAAATTCTTTCAATAGAATTACGAACGTAGCATCAAACTTTTATATGATCGTTACTGTTACTCTTTAAATTACTTGTATAGAGGCTAAAAAAGAAAATTCAAGCTTTATAGCAAATGGTTAAAAAAAATGTTTTGAATATGCGAACCTAAATTCTTGAACTGAACTACAAAGGACAGATTACAGGCAATCAAAAACTTGACGATTTCTTAAGAGATCATCAATCCGAGTATACCACACGAGGAGATTGTCGTTTAGAATGGATTAATTATAGTGAGTTTGAAGAGGTTAAACAAATTGGTGAAGGCAGATTCGGATGTTCATATATTTAGATGAAAAATCACATACTATTATTCAAGCGTGCTCGCTCAATTAGTCCTACTGTATCTGGGATTCATCCACTAGCACCCGCATAAGGGAGTGTTAAAATCACTAAAAAGGAATGCCAACAACCTCTTCAAGAAGTCATTAAAATGGTTCATGGCAAAATATCTGATCGCATAGTTAGTTATAAGCAAAATGGTACGTTAAGTATTTTTCATTAGTCACTCAACTCGGTTTGCTTAATAAAATCTCAGTTATTTGATTATTTCCTTTTGTCATCTCAAAATGTTTGGTCAATTGAATATCTAAACTGGAATTCTGACTAAAGATTTATACAGGAACAATATTGTACTTGCCTCTTTTTATCTGTGGCACTTATAATTTCATAGGGTATTTTCTTCAATTAACAATTTTCCATAAAGATTGAATGATGGAGTAATTGTATTGGCTGATTTTGGATATCCCGGTTCTCTTGATAATTCAACTAATATGTGATCCTTCCATACTGATAATCAAATAGTAATTATTATACATAGCAAAGACAGATGTTTATGATTCTAAAATAATACTTTATGAAATAACAGGTAATTTGTTATCTTTGATCTTAATTTAATAATAGATATTATAAATAAATTTTGTTCAAAACTGAATTTTTACATGCTTTTAATTATAAAATCATTCAAGAATTAGAAAATTTTGAAAAACTTTAAATAATATAAGAATAAGAAATTAAAGTATTTCTTTATATTATAATATAGTATTTAACAAAAAAAACCAGATATTTTAATTTTCTTTATAAATATTTATTTAAATAACATAATATATATTTGAAAGTATAATAAATGACTTTATTTAAAACTACTTGAATACTTATTTTATTAAAATTTTTTATAATTTATATTTAAAATTTTTAATAATAAGAAAACTTAAATAAATAAATTTAATTATTATTTTGCAAATTAATCTTAAATAAACTTGATTACTAGATTATCAAGTATATATTTAAAATTTTATATAAAATTTATTAAATAACAAATAAAAAAAGATTAAAAAAATATTTTAATTTTTTAAAAAAATTTAATAAAAAATATTAATTATAAAAAATTTTATTAAAATATAATATTAAATACTTTTAAGTAAACTTTTTTACTAGATTATTAAGCGTATATATATAAAATTTTATATAAATTAAATAAATATTTATTAAATATAATCAAAAATAAAATATTTAATTTTTTTTATTATATATTGTAAATCTTAAATATATATAAATAAAATTTATATTTTAATATTATTAATTTATTATTTATTCTATTATTTTTATAATATTAAAAATTATTTTAATTATTTTTTTAAACTTTTAGATTTAATCTCTTATTTTATTATTTATAATTATTTTCTTTTTATTAGTAAAAATAATATAATTATATTATTTTTACTTAATCTAGATTATAAATATGTTATAATTCATTTTTTATAACATAAACTAAGATATTACAATTCAAATTTTATAATAATGATTAAGATATTATAATCTAAATTTTATAATACAGACTAAGATATTATAATATTATTTTATAATACATAAATAAGTAAATGACTTGTATATTTTTTAGAAAATCAAATTTAATATTAATAATATTTTAATTACTTATATAAATTTTTATATATCAGGTTAATATTTTTGATCAGATTCTAATAAAAAGAAATATTTAAATTATATTATGATATCTTAGATGTACTTTTTCTATATTAAGTTTTATTTTCTTTAGAAATCTAAATTTAATAATATTATTTATATACTGATTTGATAATTTTAATTATTTTTAATTATAAGATATTTTTTAATTCAGGTTATAATATCTAAAGTATTTTCTTTTTGTAATTTCTATTATAATTCAAATTTAATAGTATTATTTATATATTAATTTATTTATCATGACTGATATCTGAATATATTATATATATACTATTTAATTATACTATATATATAATATCTGAATATATTAGTAATATATACTATTAAATATATATTATATAATTACTATCAGATATGCTATATATATGCTATCTGATTATGTTATCAATTATTATTATCAAATATATATATTAGATATAAAATATTTTATTTTATAGAGAATATCATATAAATATTATTAATAATATCATTATATATATGCTATCAAATTATACTATCAAAAAATATTATCAAATATATTATATAATTGCTATTAAGTATGATATTAAATATACTAAACATATACTATCAGAAATATATTATATAATTATTATTAAGTATATTATATTTCTGCTATTAAATATACTATATATATATGATTAAATATATGTTATATAATTATTATCAAATATACTATATATATATTATTAAATATATTATTTATCACTAAAAAATCTTTGATAATAACTTTAATAATATCTTTGATGATAGGCTTATTATTAAATTTTAGTTTTAAATTCTTTTTTATCTTGTTTTTATATACTATTATCAAAATTACTAAAGATAAAGTAAAATTCTAAGAAAAATAAAACTTTCTCTTATGATATATCTAATACATATACATATTATCAATATATATATACTTATAGTATAATCTATACTTATACTATATATATATAATATATATAATACATATATGTAATATATCTATAATAAAAAAAGAGAAAAAAAAGCTGAAGAAGTTTAATTTTTTTTGGTAACTTTAGTAATTTTGATAACAAATATTTAAAAAGCTTTCTATAAATACAAAATTATAAAATTTAATAAGAATTTTATTATTAATTTTTTTCTTATCATTATAAAAAATTTTTAGTACTAGCTATATATATTAAGATAATATATATATATTTATTATATAAATGTAAAATACTAATTTTTTATCTTAAATTCATTTTATATCATCTTCTCAAACTTTTTTTAGTAATATTATTTTATATTTTGATACTTATCTATATATTTCTTACACATATTATATATAAAGAAAATAATTTTATCATACTCTTTACAAGATATATATTAAAAGAACTTCTAATATTAATTATAATCTTTAGATCTATAATTATCTTACTTATAAACTTCTCTAATTCTAAGAATATATTTATAATGATAAAATATTATTTTTGGTGCCTCTTGAAAAGATTATTTCATGATAGGTTAATAATTTTATATATAATATTTGCTAGAATAATATATAATAAAGATATTATGAATTATGGATGAAAGAGACTAATATAATCATAAATATAATGTAATAGATATTA